TTGCGATCAGTGTGGATAAATTGAACTTGGAAATGATACTTCTGTGTCATGTTAGAATACATTATCACTAATATAATCGATAGCTGCATTATTGAATCCGTATTTTCCAAGTAAGTATTACAACAATGGACGAATTAAGATCTATAAGCATCTTACACGTATTTTCAAAAGTCTTGAAAAAATAAATCAAAAAATTCAAGATCATTTAGATATTAACTAATTACTTCCATCCTCGCAGTTAGGATTTCGTCTGAACGTCAGCACCAGTAAATATAAAGACGACATTCTTCGGGAGAGTGATATGAGCAAAACGACTACGGCCATTTTGTTGGATTTCTCAAAAGCTTTCGACAAAATCAATCATGAAGTTCTACTGTCAACTTGGGTTTTTTAAGTGCTGCAGTCTCTGTTATGCGTAGTTACTGTACTGACCGCTTTCAGGTTGTTGCAACATCTAAAGGAGAGTTAAGTAATATTACTATTCCGTGGTATGTTATTTGGTCAATCTAAGGAGAGACCTCACCTTCGAATACGTGTTAAAGATCAGTATTTAATTTGCGCTGAACGCGCTCGAAATTTGGGACTAAACTTTGATAATGATTTGCGTTTCAAGCCCCACGTAAAAGTGCATTCAAATAGCCTATATGAGTTTAAAAAACATTTATCCCAGTCGTTACCTTTTAAAAACTAACCTTAAAAATTAGATTCATGGCTTCGCTGGTACTTCCTCATTTTATTTATGCAGGTTTATGGTCTTTGTTTGGATCAAAACGATGTAACCAGAATACAGAGAGTGCCAAAGTCGTGTTTACGATTGATCTACGGTGTAAGGCAACGTGATCGCATATCGTATAAACTCCGTGAAGCAAATTGGCTATCAATGAAACAAAGTGCAGTCGTTTTTTACCATAATATAATTTTAAATGCCTGCCCTCTATGTCCCTTTAGAAAAATAAAATACCGAACTGATGTTCACACCCTCCGCATCCTAAAACATTGTTTGAAAGATCGTTTTCCTACTATGTCTACAAATGGTATAATGTTGTTCCCAGTAACGTTAAGAAACTGATGCCGACATCTTTTAGAAAAATTTTTCTTTATAATCAATCTATTAGTCAAATATAATTAACCGACGTAGATTTCTTTTAATAAGATACTGAATAGTTTGATTTTTTTTATGTATATATGTTAATGAATTGATATATTCAGTATGTATCATAATATGTGAAGATATAAGTAGTTATGAAATTAGGGACTGGGCTTTGATCTTTTTTCAAAATTGTTTCTCAGTTCCTTTTTTTGCGCTATGCTTTTGGTTTACTGCTAATAGATAAATGTAAATATGAAGTGCAAAAAATAAACAAATATTATTATTATTATTATTATTATTATTATTATAGGGGCTGCTGGATACGTCAAGTAACTGGATGCATAATGTTTTCTTATCTTTAAATGGAGGGAACTTTATTAAAATCAATAAAAGGAAAAATATCTTATTTTTTAACTCAAATACTTGTGCGATTGGTACAGTCTAATAGGTTCTCGAAGTTTTCGTGGTCTCATTTTAGACCTCGGTCCAAAGACTATTAGAGACTCGCCATTAATATTAAAACTTTGCGTATCAGATTATTTTGTCTAATGAAGGAGCAAAAATTGCCTGGGTTTGCGTATATATCATTTTCCGACTGGCTTATTAAACTTTCATCAGCGACTTTGATGTCTCGTTTAACTTTTCCGCGTAATATTTATTATTTGTTTATGCAAATTTGATTGAATTAAATGTTTCCTTGAATGATCCTAAATGGAGTAAACTAAACCATAAAAAATATTCCAGAAAAGCAATAACAACTGAATTTATTTTTTTGAAAATTCGTATAGGACACCGCGCTATATTATACAGAACGCTAAAACATAATTCAATTGAAATGATAACATACCGGGTTAGTAAAGTGGCGTAGTAATTAATAAAAACAAAATTTTAAAATAAGATCCTACCAAATTTGACATGCGCAATTCATTTCAACAAAAATAAATAACGCAATTGATTTAAAATAACAAATTTGCGATCTGTGGTGTAAAAGTGATAAATCTGACAACATTGGTTTTAGAATTTTTAAATTATGCATGTCAAAAACTCCCGGGTATTGAATTTTATCGTTCCAGCTTTGATAGTAGTTCCAGTTTGGCGGTAGTCGATATGTTTTACTAGTTTCCCAAGAACTCCATGGTTTTTAACAAAAGTTGTGTTTAATTACTGTTTGGAGACAAACTCTAAAGACACATCCACAAGTCACTGCAACACTTTTCTGGATTCCTTCTGCGTCGGCTGTCAGTCATCGCAAACATATTTATGGAAGCTTTTGAGAGGAAAGCCTTCGACACTTTTCATCTAAAATGAAAACTAAGGAGACTCTGCTTTGATGATACTTTGGTCATTTGGTCTTATGATCAAGAATCCTTCTAACAATTTTTTAGCTATTATTTTCTATACACCGTAACATACGATTTACCATTGAATTGGAAAATAATCTTCCATTCTAGAATATTCTTATTAATAGAAAATCAGATCTAACGTTGCAGCATTTATTGTACAGAAAACCTACACATATAGTCCGCTACCTTAATATATTGTTACATTACCATCGAGCATAGAAGTTATGGGTTATCAACTCTCTTCTATACAGTGCAGTAGAACTATCTCAACCCGATTCATTTGACATAGAATTAAAACACCTATCATCTGCTCTTCTCTGAAATAATTTTCACATTAGAGATATTAAGCGTTGTATTAAAAAATACATTTCACCACAATCTTCCAATTAAAATGAATCCTAAAGCAACTACGCGCTTGCTATTGTGGACTGACCACATATCAAACGTTCTTAAGAAAAATAATGTTAAAACCAGAATTATTACTTGTTCAAAAATCTCGCAACATCTTCAATCCATGAAAGACAAAAGCCCATTTGAGACACTAGGTGTGTACAGCATATGCAACAAAGAATATAAGAGAAAATATTAACTAACCAAAAGGAACATGAAAGAGCCTTAAGATTACGATTGAACTTATCAGCAGTTGCCGAACATAATTATGCGACAGAACATTACATCTCAGTTAAACAAACTAAAATTCTAGTTTGTAATCAATTCTTCTATCAAAGAGAAATCTGAGAATCAATATAAATCTCTAAACTACCATAGTAGATTGAAAACTAGTTCTATTTAAGCTCTGAAGAAGCCGGATTGGCGAAACATATACAACCGATGCAGGAGGGATCCAAAAGATTTTCAAATAGTAGAAAGTTTTAAAATTTGCCATCTCTAATGTTCTAACTAATATTTACTTAAAAGTAAGTTAAAATCAAGCAACGAAATTACTCAAACAAAGTTTTGATGGATAAGCTATCTATGGATACACAGTGATTCAATTTTTAAATTGTTCACAGGGCAAGCATTTAAAATGTCAAATGAAGTCTTAACGTATGCGAGATTCCACTCCGAATTCAACAGACCGATGATAGGCCGAAATAATGTTTTAATCTAATCACAAACCTGCAAAATTGCAACAAGAATAGAGAAATATTAATGATAGAATGTTTATGGGAAATGACTTTTCATCTATTATTTCTCACAACTCCAATTCGCAATTCCAACTCTAAAATCCTCATCGTGAAAGTTTTGACGAACTTGCTCCTTAAACCAACATCTGAATTGGAACAACTTATTTAGGCATAAAGCTTTTTTCACTTACGAACGTATCTTTACCTATTCCGATGTTGTATTTGGTTATCATTTGGGTTTCTTTTATGTAAGTTAACTATCAACCCAGAACCGAAAAATTCCTCCCGAAACATGACAGACAACTCATAACAAACGAGACGAAGATCCTAGTCACATGGGGATCTACTTTTGCGAACCACTAAATGGAGAGGAAAACACTTACCACTCCAAGAAACAGTAAAAGCTATAAAAAAGCTAAAAAGCAAAAAAGCTGCTGGTAACGACAATATATCTGCCCAGTGTTTAAAAGACGGTGAAAAAACAAAACATAGAACCATTTTTGAGTAATCCAAAAAAAAATGTTCCAACTACCGCGACCAAACTCCATTGACTCTACATGCTATAAGATATTATCTAGTGAGCCAGTTACTGAAGAAATAGTGCTAGACTACCAATGTAGACTCAGACTATAAAGGTTCGTTATAGACCAGATTTTCACTATCAGATAAATTATGGAATGGGAATTTCACAGAGAACTAAATAAAATGTTCATTTATTTTATTGATGGGCATTTCATTTGATGGGTAGAATGAAGTTGTGGCGAACAATGCAAGAGCTGGGCATTCCGAAAAAAAAAATACTACATTGTCATCTCGACTATTTAACCTAGCATCAGAATGCACCACTAGGAATGCTAAAATTGAGACTAAATGATTTTTCCGGTTTTAAATTAGTTTTGACAGTTTTAAATTGGTATAACATCAAAAAATCGATCCAGGAGGCACCGAGCGACGAGTTTAGTGTCCATTACTGGAAAACTGACGGAACCTTGGGTAATAAGTCTCAAATATAAAACGAAAGAAAAAAGAATTAATTCCAAAAGTTCCCCAATGAAAAGTTTCGAATGCTTGCAATTAGAACCAGAAAATGAAATCAATTTCGCCGATAAACCGTAAGTCTTAGTTGACGTAGTTATGGCGAAGCCTGCGCAAAACCCTTATGTTTTGAACCACTGAGATCTGAAGAAAATATACCTAGAGAATTTTGCAGTTTCGCTTGTCTAATACAAGCTTCGACACTATGGTTGGAATAAAGTCGGCTGTGTAGATCGTAATGTTATTTTAATAACAAATCATGTTGCGCAAATATTCTTTCTTTTCTATCTTTATTCAAGATAAAGATAAAGTACTTTGATATTTGTTGTTCCTCTTCTACTTGGTTTTGTTGGATAGTAATAATAAAATATTAATTCAAATAGAGTAATGCTGAACTGTTTTCAGAAAGACAATAGAGTCACCATTATGGCAAATTTGGCTGAATTGGACTACTGTTCGGCAAAGGATTTAGACCCACAAGATCCAAGGTGTGCGAAAGTTATCGTTACGGGAAAGTTGTTGAAGGTATAAGCCGTCTGCATTTCATTCTTCCACATTAACTTAGGTATTGTTTTTCCAGTTAAAGAAGAATTCACCTGAATATGCATTTGGGCTGGATGCATTATACGCTAGACACCCGTCGATGAAAAATTGGCCAACAGGTAAAACACTCCAGGAATTGTATTTTGTAGACTATTGATGAGTTAATTTGCCGTTTGCCCTGATCTCATTAAGTACAAACCGTCAAACGATTGAGTTAAAAATATTTATCTGAATACATTTTTCTAGGAAATTGATTTCTCTACAAAAAAAAAGATGCAATAAGTTTCTTTGAATTAACTTTTTTCATTTTGAACTTTTGTAACTGAAAATTCAATATACATAAATGAAATGCTCTACAAGAAGGTCTCTTAATATTTTTCTATAAAGTTATTTTTATAAAATTTATATTGAATTAAAAGAAAAAATGATATATTTGTTTTTTCGTCGTTGACCCAATGTTTTCCACTCAATGAATTAAAATCCAAAATTGTTATGTCATCAACACCGTAAATAAAAATTATTTAAAAAATAGGAATTTTGTTGTTTTGATCTTTAAAATTATTTATTTACAATATTTTACAAATTAGTTCAGTATTATATTTGCTAATATAGATGAATTTGTACCTATAATTTTCATCCCTTGATCTTCTATTCTTCCAACATACAAAGCGACATGAGTGAACGCACTCTATCCTTTTTTCAAACTGATCACGACGTCTATGTATAAAGCATTGTAAATATAGAATTTTCAATAGTAAAACAACATATTTTTTAATTTTTCAAAGAAAATTCCACTTCTGGATTCCTTCCGCGTCGGTTATTGATAAATCGAAATAGCTGACGTATCGTCAATCATTCTGTTGGCTTCGTCAGAGCTTACTTACTCCGTACCTGCTTATACAAGGGTTTTCATCCAATGCTTTCATTAAAGTTTATTCTACGTTTTGTGGCTTCTGGGTCAAATGGTAGTTACTGTCAACTTGCTTATTTGTATATACATTTTGAGATGCTGTGTGAAATTGTAATTGAAATAATTGACCTTGCAAATTTTTTACACATGCAATTTTTTGTAATTTCTGAAAATTTGGTCCTCATATCTAGTAAAATGTTAAAAAGGAGGAGATAAGACCTGAGTCGAGTCGAGATTATTTAGAGATTTCTATTGATTCTTGCATTTTTATTTGGTCGATGAAATGATTATATGCAAGAATTTTAGTTTGGTCCAATAAGATTTGATGTGAAGTTTGACTATTATTCGGAAACTGCTGATAAGTTAATTTTTCGTAGTGTTAAGACTTTGAAGAATCGAAGATATTAAGAAATATTTGAACAAGTGGTAAATCTGATTTTAACATTGTATTTTTTAAGGACATTTGACTCATTGATACTTTAAACCTAAAACCAAAACTGTGAAACGCGTTTGTTATTTGGCTTCATGGTCAAGAGATTTTCTTAACCATTTAAACTCTATACGCCCTAACAAACGTTTCATCATTGTTACAGAAACGTACTTATTTCAAAGACAAAATTCCGTTTGTTTGGGTCACCAGAAGTTTACATGCGTATGCGCCTCAGAATACATTGGAAAAATAGGACTGAAAATATTAACTAGTCTTAAATCTTATAGATAGATAGATAGATAGATAGATAGATTCATTTATTGACTACGTTTCGTACAAAAGGGACGTACAATTGTAGCAAGTCAGAAGTGATATTCAAGTGCAATAAAATCAAATTAATAAATAACATAAAAACACACATTTAATACAAACAAAATTAGACAGTACTATACAGTTTTATAGCGCATCGATACCAGTGACAGTGTCAATGTATGCTCGCAGGGAGTAAAAACAATGACGTTGTAGGAATTCTTTAATAGTATGTTTAAATTTTCTATTGCTCATCTTTTTCACGGTACCTGGCAAAACATTATACAATTTCAGGTTCAATGAGTTGCTCTCAGGCTTCCTCAGTCTAAACCTAGGCCGTCTGAGGAGATCCCCCGAACGAGTTGGATAGGCATGGCAATCGGAATTAGCGCTAAAGTTTCCTTTCGTTCTTTGTATCTCTAATAACTGGTAGTAGATATAGATGCAAGGAAGGGGCATCACTTTGATTTTTTTAAAATAAGGTTGACAATGGTCCCTGTATCCTATATTAGCAACGACTCGAATGGCCCTTTTCTGCATTCTAAAAATCTCCACAGCAGCTGAGGAATCACCCCACAGCACTCTGCCATAGCATAAGTGTGAATGCAACAAAGAAAAATAGACTATAAGCAGAGTCCGTGTTCCTATCAGGCCTCTCAGTTGTCGAAGAACGAATATGTTGCAGGACAATCTATTTTCAGGTCTGAGATATGTTGTTTCCAATTTAGACTATCATCGAACCTAATGCCAAGCAACTTGACGGACTGTCCACTATTTACCAAGCAACTGGAGGAAAACACAATACTCTGGGTCTTGTCTAAATTTAATTTAAGATAATTATTTTCGAACCAGACATTAGCCTTGTCCTCCAACATGCCAACGCTAACGGACAACTCCTCGATACTCTTAGCAGATGTAGTAAAGGATGTATCGTCGGCAAACATCACGCACTGATTGGGGGCCAAGAAATGATAAAGGTCATTTATGTAGATTGTAAATAGTAGCGGGCCCAGGACGGAACCTTGGGGCACCCCGCTTACTACTGATTCAAGTGATGAACGGTCATCCTGGTATTCTACAAACTGCTGTCGGCCCTGCAAGTAGGACGCTATAAGATCTAAAGGCAGACCTCGTATACCATATCTGTATAGCTTTTTAATAAGAAGCTGGTGAGAAACACAGTCGAAGGCCCTGGAGAGATCACACAAGGTCAAACCAACTAATTCACCCCCCTCGAGGCCCTCAACTTTCCCACTCACAACTTTAGACACTGCCTGGATCGTCGAACACCCTCCCCTAAATACATATGTCATGTGTCAATACATTTATTAAATAAAGTGGTTAATGGCAGTGTAATGCACTCAACCAGTCCCTTCACCAAGACACTATTGATATCATAAGCATCGCTAGAATAAGATTTTTTTAATCTTAGTATGGCTTGGTACGTATCCTCAGTTATCGGATGCAAAAAAAAGTAGTTTCCTCCAGTGGAATCCCTTCAACACATGCAGTCTGTACATTGTGATTCACCGTTAAGATCTTTATAATATTACTCGAGACAGAACTAAAAAAACTGTTAAGATCGTTTGCTGATAAATCAGATTCTTTATCACATCTCCCAAGACAATTTCTTTCATAGTTAACGATTTTCCAGACATCTTTGTTCTTATTGGTTGATTTTTCGATAAAGAATTCTTGCATAAAATCAATTATTCTACTAAAGAAAAATCCGATAATCCATAAAAATCGCAGGAATCTTTTAGCTCCGCCTTCCTCAAACGGTAAATAAGCAGGAACAGGATAGAAGCTCTGTAGAGGTCTACAAACGGAATTTCAGCAACTTCTACTAACTAAAAATCGACACAGAAAGAATCCAGGAGATTTGTAAATAGCAAAATAATTGTTATTTTTGAAATTAATTTTAGTAATTCAATTTTAGCTATAAAATAGTTTTCAATAATGTATAGCATAGAATAGAGAACTGAAAAAATTGGATGAAAAAGACAAGAATTTCATTTTTTTAAAGTTCAATCGTAAGTAACCTTTAATAATTAATTTTATATACCAATATTAAGAGACTTCTTTTGTAGAGCATTTAATTCTATAAAAAATCCGTATAGTTTCTTTTTGTATCTCGAGTTGTTTTTGATTTAAAAGGTTTCAAAATGAAAAAGCTACTTTACAAAAACCTATTATTTTCAACTGGAGCTTTTTTTTGTAGATAATTCTATACTTTGCGAAAAATAATATTCTAACCTCAATTGTTTTGACGCAATCATAAGATCAGGACCAAGAAATCTGAAGTAGAACATATAAAAATAAAACAAATGCATTAGTATTAAGAATTTTTTTTTCATTCTGAATGATTATATATATATATATATATATATATATATATATATATATATATATATATATATATATATATATATATATATATATATATATATATATATATATATATATATATATATATATATATATGAATATATATTTATATCAATATATATTTATATATTTAGAAAATAGTAGATTTTTTTTGGTCAAATGTTGTACGTATATTTAATATTTTCAAATGTTTTATTTTTACTGATTTGATGCGTTTGTTTTCAATATTTAACATATTTTTATTTTACCAGATCACCAGTTTTATGTGGCTAAGGTGGACATGGATCAGATATGCGTTTTGGATTTCTTTGGCGGGTTAAAGTATGTGACGAAAAAAGAATATTTTGACGCTAATTTAACCAACATGATTAATATCGATGCAGACTTCCAACGCATCTCAGTAATAACAATCGAGGGTGATAAATAAATATGACTAATCTGCATACATATTATTTATTATGTTACGCATTTGAGTTTAATATATTATAATATTTTCAATTAAATCTTTTGCTTGTTAGAAGATACATGTTTATTCAATACAAAAAATGATGAACATTTTTGTTTTTGGTAATAATTGTCCAAAAACGAAAGAAGCAGAAACAATATAAAAAGAAGTGATTAAGGAGGTAACATGAAAAAAATGTGAATTTGATTGTAATTGATTCTTATTATTATATGTTCGTTATTTTAGCACAAAATTTTTGGTATTTTGTTTTCCAAAGCAAAAAAAAAAATAAATTAAAAAATTTAATAAATTTATAATTTCGTGTGGACAATATGCAATAATTAATATCAACATTTTAAATATAATTTTTAAAAACATTTAACATTTAAAACATTATTTCGCGTATTTAATTCTTGTACTGATTTTATAAGTTGGGAACACAATGTCAAAAAGCGGTATGCCCTATTCCCCTCTTATTTGTTTCGTTGCAAATAAAGTGATATCGTTTTTAATTTTATTGAGGAAATAATTTTTATGGAAATATTGCAAGACGCCCTCCAGCGACGACACAATTATTATCAATTATGAACATATTGACATTTATTGTCGAAAATATTCGAACACCCCCCACTATTTTCCCTTAATATATAGCAAAAGACACTTAACGAAAAAGAATCGAATAACCCGTTTTTACAATAATAAAAAAGTGTAGTTTTTAAAAATAAGACACCCCGTATACTCATCGAACCGAAATTAAATATGGCCACATGTTGAGCACGAAGAACAAAAAATACCACAACATCACTAATTTTATAGAACAGTTTTTGCTCTACTTTTGAAGGGAAAGTGTTCCAATATTTTTGGAAATAAATGTCAAAAACTTAACAATGCCTAAAGGCATATTGTTAGATTTTAAGTCATTGAAAGGGGCGGTTACTGGGCTATCAGTGCTGTCCTGAGCGGATTGATTTCGATTGTATTTTACGCAAATAAAATCTGTTTTCTCAAAAAAGTTAAATGCAACGATATCATTTTTTGTGCGACCTGTATAAAATATAAGTATATTGTTGTAAATACGCAATTTTCTTTTTAAACACCAGAAAAAGGAACACGGCGGAGCACACCTTCTTGAAGTGCTCGAGGTTAGTTTACTAGAATACTTGGAATACTAGAGGCACAAATTGAGGTGCAACTTAGTACACACAAAAGCATTGATAGTGGAGTTATCAAGAATTAGCATAGTCCCAGCTGAGAATCCCCATCACGATGGTTACCACCAACGGTGATCTCGCGATAGAGATAAGGACAAAAATGCAATGTCTATTTTTCCAAAGGTTGAATACACAACTCCAAAATCAATAGTAATTTTAACAGCATCTTAAGAGAATGTTACGGATGTCATGACTGACAATCAGAAAAAAATTGAAGATGTTTTCACAGTGGATATTATCGTCAACTTATAAAAGATCGGACGTCATCTATGGAACGCAACCTTAAATCCGTCATTAGAGTTGTTTCTCTCTCCTGACATCTGTTCTTCTCTCCAATAGTTTCCACATCAGATATATTAAACATTTCATCACAAAGTACACTTCATCGCAATCTTTCAAAATAAGTTATTCTGAAAGTAACCTCACACTTGCAACCGTGGCCCTTCATGATATTCAAAACATGATTGACCACATATTAAAACTTCTTAAGAAATATAATAGCTCTCAAGGAGACCCTTTAGGGAGATAAATGGACTGTATGAAACGGAGAGGTCTAATCCCCCCTTACCTTGAAATTTACATCTCACATTTATATATAAAGAAATGAAAATAACAGGTATTGAGGAATTAAGTTTCGAACTTACTAAAATGAAAAGTTACAGGGTACATTTAAAAAAAGTATTTTTCTTGATCACACTTGACAGAAAGTAACCATTTCTTTGTTACACTCGGTATAGTTTTAGCAAATGTCCAAAGACGGCTAGAAATAACTCCACGGTCAAAGTCTTACTTTCAAGTCGTTTACCGGTATTGCGTAGCTTCGTCTCACATTATGTACAGAAAAAATATCTTAGAAACTGTTCGTTTTAGATATGGGTTACATTTAATAAAAGTTCTTCACAATTTTATTTTGAATTGAAAAATACAATAACACACAGAGTTCCATTTAAAATAACAAAGGTAATAAAGATGCGCTAACTCCTCATATATACTCATACCAAAATTCATAATATTATATAAGAAGGCATAGAATAGAATGCAAACAAATTTACCGTAGCCTGTGAACAAAAAAGAAGAAAATTAAACCTTCTGTATTATTTTTTGCGAATATTGTAAAGATGATTAAATTCGGCAACTGTCTGCGATGATTCGACTTCTCAGTCGATTCGCTTTAAGCCACTCCATAAAACTCCAAACTCCTCGAAGACGTGTAAAGTGGCGCGGCGCAAACTTAACTTCCGAACATTTAGGTCAAAGAGGCTTTTTTCTATGCAGAATGTCGGCAGTGGATTTATTAAGTAGAACGGCCAAGAGCAATAGCTGAAAATTATTTCGCCACCAGAGGGCGTAATTGCCATCTTCAGTTTTGAAGCTTGTTTTCTGCAAAATTGTCTTATATTGTCTAAAACTGAGACAAATTCTAATCTTTTTTGTCAGATGCTTCTCACTATACCTCTAAAAAGAAAGTGGTGGGCGGCGAAATATACTATTTTTTACGTCATTAGATAATGATAACCGCGACACCTATAAATTAACAACTCTATGCAAACATTACGAAAACTAACATTAATAGCAATAAAATTCAACACAATTAATTAAAAGGAAAATCAAAGGTTCAAAGTGCATCCCGTCATTTTGAAGAATATATTCTACGTCGTGTATTTAACACGGCTTTGCTAATTTCTGCTCTTAAAATGTTAGCTACAGCACTTCGGAAGCAATCAACCGTATTTTCAGGGCTAGTAGGGTGAGTTTAATCAACGATATCTTTTATTCTACCCCTAAGGGAAAAGTCCAGGACAGTAAGGTCTGGAGATCTGATAGGAAACTGAAACAAACTGTCCCTTACCATCCAACGGTTTGGATAAATTTGGTCTAAAAAATTTGTAACTTCTTGAGAAAAGTCTGCTGGACATCAATCGTGTTGCAGCCGCATCTTTTCTCGTTTGTCAGGGAAAGTTTTCTAATAAAATCGACAAGGGGTTTCTTAAAAAGTTCAAGTAAATTTGTATATCAACTTAAAGAAAAATGGTCCTAGAATTAGAGCACCCAAGTTATCAAACCAGACGCTCATACTCTACCGACTTTGATAGTTCACTTCACGCTATTTATAAATCTTCTGGATTTCTCTTATGTCGGTTGTTGATGTTGGCTTCCTCATAGTTTAACTGAAACTGCTGCACTCATCTCGCCTCAAATAAACTCTCACAGTAGTAGTGTCTATGATATTGTAAAACAACTAATATAAAGTAAGATAAACAACGAACTTGCATTTTAAAAACAACCCGCAGAGCGGAGATATTTACCAAAATTCAACTTCTTTCTAGTTTTCTTTTCATACTTTAGGTTAGGGTAAAGATTGTGAGGTGCGGTTTTCACTGGGGTGATGAGCCCTTGTTTGACCAATGTCTTAACAAATTCTTATCGCTGTATTTGTATTTTTAACCACTCCAAGCTCATTAAAATCCATTAAGCCATTCGCGAGTTATATATTTATTTCGAGTAAAAGATATCTAACAAAAAAAAAGAATTTGACTCAGCTTTAAAGAAGTGTTCATTCCAAGTATCATTAACATAAGATTTTTTTACAGAAAACTGGTTTTAAAATTCAAGATAGCAATCACCCTCTCTGGTGGCCATTTTAGAAATAATGGCAGCCTTTTTTTAGGAATCTCTGTGTGCCCATTACCGTATCTGGTTTCCCTTACTGGATCGCTGGATGTATTTGTTGGGAGAGCTAGAATCTTGAATTACTTCAGGTTCCACGGCAGTAATTTTTCTTACTAAGGAAGAAAAGCATCTCTGACCTATATTCTTTCTCTCCTTCTTAGTTGCAGCTTTTGCCTTTGAGATCGTGTCGAATAATCATAAAATCAAACGAACGAATTTCGACAGAGATTTTATGAATAATCTCGTCCGAATAGATCACTAAGCTAGTAGAGCTGGTAACTATCCACAAGATTTTAACGATCTCGCCTATGGCCTATAAAAAGACAGGAAGACACACAGCATATCTTTGCCTGCGACCATACCTACACATATTCTGTGCTTCAACCTCCATATTTTTAAAGATGTGAAAAAGTGCGATTCCGGTGGCAAGAAGGCGGGAGAGTGATGGTCTATTCGGACGAGATTATTCATAAAATCATTCTCGAACTTCACAAAGTTAGTTTGATTTTATGATTTTATTTCATAATATCTCATCCGAATAGATCACTGAGGTAGAACTTTAAAGGTAATGGCACTTTTTAATGATTAAAACAATTTTACACTCAATTTAACAATCCTGTTAGATTATAAACAGAAAAATCTTTGTTGACAACACAAATTAGAAATATTGCGGTATTATATAAGATATAATTGCGGGCAGGATGCATACTTATCAGCCGATTTCTTGGTAACAATTTTTTTTCCTTAAGATATTTTGTGTAAGATTTTGAACATTGTTTATGGGATATTGTGAATTTCGGTGGATACTGAGGAATTTTTGGTCCAACCAGCGGTCCTTCTAATTATTTGTAGGAGAACACAGGCTGTAGATATCGCTGCATATTTGGCTGAATACCCTCCAATTATTTTTGTATTAATTCCCGATTCATCTAGGGTAGCTTTAAGCTATCTGATAAGAGTTTAGATAGAGTTTCCTAGTTCCCAAAAATATATGACTTTGGATTGCATAAGGTCATTCTGTAAAGAAAGGCATGGTTGTTCACCTTTCACATTGGTATCTTTTATGGGGTCTGGGATCAAAATGTGGATCCTATCTGTATATATGTATATTTTGTACATTGATTAGACTGAATGTTTAAATGCGATGAGCTGTTGTTGACGTCACTAACGTGATTAATTTACTAGAGATTCTTTCTAAAAAGGGGTTTTCATTGGAGTACCATTTTTCGAACATGTTAATGACCTGGCTTCGGTCCGCTATAAAATTATATTCTCTGGTAGGAGATCTTGTTTTAGATGCACCTTTGCTCCATCTACAAATTAGGGGATTGCTTTAAATACCAGGTAGAATAGGGGACAGTGCCGATCTATAATTATTAAGATTACCATATTTTAGAATTTTAGAACGTCTGAGATTGATGCTGACATGATAACTTATTTTTCTTTTACAGAAAAAGTGCCGCGATTCCTTGTATACTACTTTAATGTAGATTTCAACAGGGACTGGATGGTTATGTCAATATTTTCCTCAGGAACGTTGTTCTTTATGAAAGCTTCCCTGATAATATTTCAACTACCAGAGAAAGTTTCTTCGGTAGTAGACAAATTAATAATATTGGAATATTGGTTTAACAGTTAATAACTTATATAAAGGCAACCGGTTGACCCTCCCAGTTAGGTACAACCACAATCTCTAGAGCTTTGCTAAAGCGTTTATTAACATTGGGATCAGGTTTCCAAGAAATAAATCTATCGCATTTATTTAGATATGTTGCAAATAAATCAATCTCTGTCGTATTAAAATGTTGTAGAATTATTTCATAATATTTGAAATTTAATTTCCACACTGTTTCGAATATATTCCTTTATTCGCATCATTTCCAAAGTTCTCTGGCTAGTTTATTTTATAAAGGAAACTAAACATTCTATTTATACCGTGTGACAGAAGAAAGTTGGAACATCCCATAACTTTTGAATGTCAAATTTTTTGATAATATGTAGTCAATGGTTGCACTTCCGGTATGAGCGGAAATGACACTAACTTTGGAATTTAAATTTTTGGATACAGGAGATCATTCTACAGAGGATAGGGATGTGAAAAATTGTAAATGAAGCTTGTCTAGTGGCAAATAGCATTTAATGCAATGAGCTATTTTTAGCATAACTTAGTTATTTAAAACCGCACACTAGTGGAAACAAAAACTTTTTAAAACTGGTACTTTTTTTGCAACATTCTGACAGCAACAATTTCAAAATCCGTTAAAAAATAAGCTAAGTTATTTGAAT